CCTGTTTTTTATTGCTGTTGTTTAATTACCCTCAGTCCTACCCCATCTTCAAGCTACAGGAAAACTTTCTTCTAAGAAGGATTGTATCATCCGTCACCATCACCACAACCATCTGCATCACCTTCATCTCCTAACTCCTGGCTTCACAAGAATGCCATTGGCAAAGGACCAAACACATTAAAAACTGCTCCTGAGCAGAACAGGAAGCTGCACAAAGAAGAGTCCCCCGATTCCTAAAGTGGGGCGTTCTGCCACAAAGACCACAACTGCACTGCCATCTGTGCCAGATCTATTGTGTGGCCTTAGGACAGGCGACTCCAACAGCATCCCTGGGAACAGAAGCAGCCCACACATATTGCATGGTTTTGCCTGGCACAGAGACAGTTTTAACAACCAATTCAGGTGCCAACAGTAAGAATTGGAAGTTGCAGAGACAAATTTTGGATTCTTGACATCTCTGAAAAAAAAAAAGCTGATGTAGCAGCCCTGGACCCATGTGGCCACATGGCAGCAACTGGTAGGAGATGAGCAGTGGCTGTGCCTTTAAAGGGGGCAGAGGCTCTCCACTGTGGAGCAGCCCACTCGGGGCTCACTTCACTCACACTTGACAGGTGTGGACATCTGAATTGATGACACCTGCCAGAGAGGCTGCCCTCATGCTGACTACGGCAACAAAATTTCTAAACTTTTTATATGGTGCACATCTGATATTATAAATATTCTTAGTAGACAACCCTATGCAAGCATTTTGATATACTAAATATAAACAAATGTCAACTAATTTCATAAGGTGAATATTTTAATTAATGTAAATTAGCAATGTTAATTATCTATTAGTTTCACAAAAATGCTTGCTCTTTCTAAAGTACTATTTTTCACATGTGCAGAATAAGGAAATATGTGTAGCTGATTCTGAAGACCTTGCAGAGCAATCCTATACCTCTTTATATACTAACCATATAATGTTGCCAGGTCAATTATTTGCAATTAAATAATGTACAATTAAAAACTAGTAAAGTCTTATACCTTGTTTTTGGTAAGATAATAACCAATGTAGATAGAAATTTGAATGTTTCAATACTGAGTGCCAGGCCCAGTCTTGGGACACACACCTGGCACCACAGGAGGGGTGCATGTCCCATCGCCACCCCTGCTCACCAGGGATGGTGAAACCAGGGCAGCTCACACTCTCACCCAGAAGCAAGCTCAAACTTGGGCTCTGCCCCTTCCTTGTCACAGAGCCAGGTGTTATGTGCATTAGTCCGTGGGACTAAATGGGGGACATGACAGCTGTTACTTATCATTGTGATATTTAAATGAGATCATGCCTGCAAAGTGGTTGCTGATCTCAGATTTCAGAGCCCATGTTCCATAGCAGGTAACTTTTACCTTTTAAAATCTTATTATTTCACTCTGTTTTAGCTTATTTAATGACATGATTATCTCTGACGGACTAGAGTCTTAGGCATCTCTTTATGAAAGTCTAACACTTGTTTTCCCTCCTTTTCATATCCTCCACAATCTGTTTAATATATATAGAAAAAGATGCCTTTCTATCAAAGGAATAATAAATAACTGAATCATCATAATCTTGCAACAGTATTTTTTCAGATATCTAGCCAGCAATGCTCTGCAACCCCCACCCCGCAACACACACACACACACATTCACTAAGGAATGGCTTCTTTGCAAAAGAAAAAGATCAACCTCACGTAATTTTTGGAAAAAAAGATCATACCCTTTTAATTAATAAATGTGAACCATCTGCATTTGGCTTCTCTTCCTGTTACTCAAGTATTATTTCACAGCCATCAGCTTTTCCTGTGGTGTTGGCTACAACTCACTGAGTAAACTGGTGATGGCAGGAAGAGGATGACAAGTCAGAATCTAACTAACCAGCTGGGATAGACTGACTGGTGTCAGCAAATGCCCTTTCAGTGGCAGCTTCACTGGGGTTGCCTGGGGTCCCAGACTGTAGCTGAGTGTGTCCTCACTGCTTGAGAATAAATGTGGTGTCCAGTCACCTTGAATGATTGCTTCAATTAGGCAAATAGATGCCACCCCACTTTCTTCCTCCAGCATGACCAGCTATAGTTTTCATTTACAACCCACTAACCATCTACTGAGCATTAGCTCTGTACCAGCAATGTGCTCAGGAGTTCAAGTCAGTGGGTCTGGGGAGGTCGAATGTAAATGGGCTTTGCTGGTTTATGTCTGTTGCAAATATTTATTTTCATGCTCATGTGACTTATATTTACAGATGATTTGGGGTTGAATTCATACATCTCTCCTTTCCTCACTGTGTGGTTTTGGATTCTTTGTCTTCATCTTGAAAATAAAGATAATAACTCTTGCTTTAAGATTTTTGTGTCTATTCACTGAAACGTCACCATTTGTAGTAGGTGAGTAAACACATTGGTTTCCTTTCATCCTACCCCTTTGTTACCAGGGTTACAGAGTGGCATACAACCTGCTCCTGCCTTTCAGGTGTTCATATTCCTTGAAGGAGACAAGAACATATGTAATAAAAATATAAGACAACAATATCATATATTTATAAATCAAATGCAGTAAGTACCAAAGCTACAATGTCATTCTCTCTAGCAGTAACATCTTGAGAAGACATATACCCTGATAACATGAATTCAAATATAATGGGATTTCTGAGTGGAAATTAGCTGTCTTTCTCTGCTTAGCCCTCATTCTCAAGTAGAGGTGAAATCAAGAGCTTATCTTTTGGGGAGATAGAAGGAAAAGAGAAAACAAGGCCAGCAGTAAACAGGAGGTGGCCCTGTTTCAGGAAGGAGAATGGGTCCCATGTGCCCAATATTCTTGTAGCTCCATTTTATGGGATCATTTCAACCAAGTGGGTACCAGCTCACAGGACATTTCTGGAAGAGCTGTGAGTTCCAGCCTACCAGAGGCCTAGAAGCATCCTCAGTGTCATACTAAGGGCTGAGGACAATCACCACCAGGGGGCACCAAATAGCAGCAAGGCTTGGATAAACGCAGATCCTGGAGCTGGCTCACCTGGATAGGCTCATTCCGGCCATTTCTTCAACTTTGTTCATTAGTACCCTTGCATTTCACACAATAAAGTACTTTAGGCTCACTTCCTCTAGTGAATGGATTTTCACTGTATTTGGATTTTAATAAGCTGCAAACTCTATTATATTTCCCTGTAAGATCTGGACCTTCCTTATCTCCTCACTCATCCCATACCAATCTTCCCTTACCTCGCAACACTCTGGATGCTATGGTTTTTTTCAAATTCATCATCTACCCCACAGTTTACACTAGCTGTTTCCTCCTCCTATGTTCTTAATTCACACAACTGGCTCCTCTATTATTAGGTCTCAGCTCAAAGGCCACTATCTCAAACAATCCTTCCCTGACCCCCATTTTGAAGTACCTTCACCTCTCTACTGGTTCCCTTGTCCATCATCCTGTTTCTGTTCTTCATGGCATCTGATGTGACCTGGTGTATACATTTGTATATTGTCTCCTTTCCTCCACTGGAATACAAGCCCATGAGGGCAGGGACGTTTTTGTCTGGCTTACCACCATGTCCCCACAGCACTCCAGACAGTTGCTGTGAGTATGGCAAGCCCATGGAAGGCTTCTTTGGGTTTCTGTATGGGCCCTACAGGGGCAAGCAGAGTAAGCCACATAGTAATTCTTGGCTTACTTAATTTAAATAGGGAAGCTGCAGGAAACTAGGCTGGTTTGGAGGAAGGAAGAGATTATTCCAGTGAGTACATTTGCTGAAATGTATAGGAGATAACATCTTAATAGTGACAGTAATAACAACAACAAGCCAACGCTGAGTGCCTACTCTGCCACGTGCTCTTCTAAGTACTTCACAGGTACTAGCTCATTTAATCCTCTCAACAACCTGATGGTGTATGAGGCCTGTCCAGAAGGTATCCAGCCATGCAATGTGAAAAATAGAGATGCTTATTGAAGAAGACACAAGAACATCATACACAGGATAAATGATGCCTCAGTCTCCTTCAAAGTAGGCACCTTGGGATCTCACATAGTTCTCCCAATCACAGTCAGCTGTCCCAATGTGTGTTCCTGAATCTCATCCACAGTCTGAAATCTCTTCCCTTTCAAAGGTAATTTTAGTTTTGGGAAAAGCCAGAAGTCACAGGGCGCCAAATATTTGCTGTAGGGGGACTGAGTCACCTGAGTGATTTGATGTTTTGCCAAAAAACTCTGCATGAGATGTGATATATGAGCAGGCACATTGTCGTGATGAAGCTGCCAATCACCAGTTGCCCACAGCTGTGGCCTTCTGAATCATTTGGTTTGTGCAGAAGAATGTTCAAGCTTCACACTAAATTTGATGAAGATTTGTACTCTACTCACTCAGTCATTTTGAATGTGACAGCCACACACTACATATGCTCACTCAACAGCATCTACCACCCCCACTGACTAGTACGGTGAAGTTCTCATTGTTCACACATGCTCATCCCAGGCCAACCTCCTTGGCCACCAGATTATATTGATGTTGTGCAAACCATTCTTGTTATATTAACAATGGTTGGGCTTTTTCCAGACAAACCTCAGATACTATTATTATCCCTATTTTACAGGTGAGGACACAGGAACTCAGAGAAGTTATGTCACTTGTCCAAGATCACAGAGAAAATAGAGATGTGATACACACCATGACAATCTGTTTCCACTCTCTTCACTAAAACCACTATTTAAAAGCAAATCATGAAAACAGCAAGCACCTATAAAAGTTCTTCTTACCAGAAAGGGAAAGAATAGCCAAGGAGGTCTTAGCTAGGTGTGATAGGAACAAGAGTCTAGTCCACACAGAAGCAGGTCACATAATAAAGAGAGAGACCACAGGCAGGTGGTCAAAGGACAGTAAATCAAGGGCAAGAGGGGCTGGGGGATGATTAGGAAACTCCTGAGAGGGCTCACGAGGTCAGTTTGGAAAAAAAAAAAGAACTGTTCACAACCCAGGTTTATCTTTTCAGGTGCCAGGAAGTCATACCATCATTCAGACACATTGTGCCAGGCTGGATTATGACATCTTGACAGATTTGGGTAAGAACAAATGCCTTGCAATTTGTCCTCTCAAGTTATAGCTATATTTAGCCCTCAGCATATGCCGTTATTTTATACTTTCTACATATACCAACCAGAGAATGTAAAAAGGGAAAGACTGATACCAAGAAAAAAAAAAGACTAGATTGAACTTTCCTTCACATTTCTACAACAATTCAATTACAGGGCAGAAATGGGAACTTACCCAGTTCTGCTTTAAGAAAATGCTTTACAAATTCCATAGAGCATATCTAAATTGCATTTGGCTTTTGTGTTCCACTCTGGCATGGTTATTTATGGTGTTTATTGAATACAGCCACTATTCTCTGCCTCTCTGCACATTTATAAATACAGCTTCTAAAAGGCATCCATTAAGGCTTATGATCTATAATTGCAAACAAGATGTGATCAGTCATGCATTCCCCAACATTACAGAATCATGTAAAGTCATCCTGGCTTGCTCCTGCAGGGCTGGAGAAGTCTTATCATTCAACACAAGTGCCCGAGATGTTAATTAGACCTCAGTCCCTGGACTTTTCAATGAGACTTCCAGTTCCTGGGTTATCACTACGTACATGCATCACTGACTCTCCTGATAGATCAAGGAACGAGGATTAATGATATCTCTGTAGTAGTAATCCTCAGCAGTTTTGGGATTAATTTTAATCACCATGAAGGCTCAGATAATACTAATAGTCTCTATTGCTCACCTGTCATTTTTATGAAATGGGAAAGTAATTTTAAAAATCATAAAAGATAATACAATAAATGTATCAATATCCACCACTGAGTTAAAAAGATAAATTACTACTAATACAGTTGATAGCTCCACTGTCTGACTGCCTGGTCACATTTTCCTAGATTTAACCAGCATTCCAATCACAGTTTTATCATTCCCCCATGTTCATCATGTGTGAATCACTGCACAATGTAGGGCATTCTTCTGCAATTTAAAAATGACATAAATGGCATCGGGCCACACACATATTTTTGTAACTTGCTTTTTTCAATCGACATTTACTCACACTGACAGGCATAACCCTAATTTGTTCATATTCCATGCTACGATCCTCTCCTTGATAAGAAGTTAGTTCTCAGGCTCTCACATCATAGTCAGTGAAGCTATGAGCACTCCTGCTGGTGTGTTCTGGTGCACCTAAGCGAGCATCTTTATGTAAGTGCGACTGTTAAGACAGAGAGTGCTTATAAAGTTATATAAATATATGCTCCAGCTAAAAGTGTATAATTTTTCCTGTTGTTTCACTTATTCCTCAACACTGGGAATATCAGAAGTTTTGTCACCACAGTGGCTGTGAAATAGTATCTCTCTGTTCTATTTAGATTCCCCTGATTACTAGTGAAGTGCAACATCTTTTCATATGTGTATTGATTTTTCTTGCTTCTGTAAATTATCTGTTTATAGTTTTGTCCATGTTGTTTGCCTTGTTTGTATAGATTTTTAGAATTATTTAAATAATACCTCTGTTGGTTTGTATCTACTGCAAATATAATACCTGGTCTCCGGGCACCTAGCTTATATTTTTGCTTATTTGACATGGTGGTTTCATTCAAAAACTGAAGTTAATTTCTGCTCATATGAAATGGCTTTCAATCCTTTACTCCATTGTGTTTTTTAAGGGGTAGTTTCTATTGATTTGCCGTTACATTAGAGGCTTGATACAGGTTTCAGTACAGAGCCCATATTTCACTTGCTAAGATTTTCTTTCTGTAGCACAGTGAATAAATTTTATTGAAAGCTTTTTCTATTTGAAATGATTCAATATACCTCTCTCCTTGTATCATTTAATGTAATGAATCATATCGGTATGTTAGGTACTGTTAAACCGATCTGGAATTTGTAAGATAAAAGCAACCTGTTAATGATATTTTTAAAACACTATCTTTTTTAAGTTGTTTTCCTTACATCTGTTCTAAAAAGAATTTTTTATGTGATATTGAACTGTGATTTTCCTTTATTAAGTTGATTAATACATATATACTATGTATATTAAGTAAAATTGCAAAGTAGTTCCCCTTTTTGTGATCTCAAGTATTTTGTAAACACCAGTCCTGTAAGTTTCCTGAATGTTCAATCAGCTTTGCTGTATAATATCTGTGCTCCGGCTCTGATATCTATGGGAGTGGTGGGGCGAGTAGTGACACCTATGTGCAGAGTGGGGAGAGTAGAGATTTGTTACTGAAACATTTTTATGTTTCCACTTCACTCAGTTTTGGTAAATTGCGTTATTCTAATAATATTTGTATTTTATCAAAGTTTCCAAATTTTACCATAAAACATTTTTATTTTAAGGAATAAGTTGTATCTGCACGTAAGTCTCCCCTTTCACTTCTAATAATAACTGTTTGTGCCTTGTCTCTTCTCCCTGATTAGGGCTCGAGGCTTTGTTTGTATAATGGATCTTTTCTAAGAAATAACTTTAGCTTTTCATTACCTTCCATTTTTCATTTCTTACTTTCCTTATTTTTGCTAGCTTTTTCCCCCTTTGATTTACTCTTCATTTTAGTCTGTTTTTTTATTTTGCTAACTTGTTGGGAACCGCCCTGCCTGGTCTCAGGAAGCTGTAATCCCCTATGACTTAGGCTGAGTGAGAGACCTCCCGACCAAAAGCCACTAAGGAGACAAAACTTATTTCCCTGGCATGAATGCTGCCTGTTCTAATGCCTGGCTTCCCTTTTGCATGATCGGCAGTCAAGAGAATGAATCTAAGACAGACGCGATCATGTGAGAATGCTCTAAGGGAAGAGACTCGGGGCTGTGGATATGAAGGGGTGATTGACATCAACCCTTGACCCCTCAGCTTTGTCAAAGCCTGAGTCCTTGTAATAAATCCAAGTCTCCTGGCTGCCTTTGTCTTCTCTGTTAACTCAGGCCTGCAGGGGCGGCCCAGACCAGAAATGGCAGACCCCCCGGGGTAATCAGGCCTGGGACATACAATATGAAAGATCCTGTGAGATCTGTTTGCTGGAGGATGTTATTAACTTGGAATTTAAAGGCACAAGCAGGAAACCTTTGGAACCTGTAGTCCTTTCATATGTTAAAAACCCCAAACTTTGGCCAGAATCACAGCAGGAGTTCTGTCTGCACCTTTGTGAGTCACCTACTTCTTTTGATCTTTTCTGCCAGACTGTGAATCTACAAACTAAGTCTGTTTTCTCAATAAAAATCTGCTTGGGAATGGAGTTGAGGTGCCCTCCCCACTAGAGAGAGGGTGACCATTCCGTTTTTACTTCCCCACAGAAACTGCTTGTCTCTGTGTATGTCTTTCTCGTGTTTCAACGAGCCATCCAGTGTTCAGAGCTCACTGCAGGCAGGTGAGCACGTGTCACTAACTTCATAAATTGTATACTTCCTCATTAATTTTAGCCTTTCTTCTATTCTCACAAAAGATCTGAAGTACCTTAAAAAACCATTTAAGCTGCATTCAACAAATTTAATCCTCTACTTTAATGCCTGAAATATCTATGGGGTTCCAACAGTTCTATTTTCTGAAACCCCTGAATATGTTATTCTGCTTATTATTTTTCTGACTCCCTTTCATATCATTTAGAGATATTGAATGGAAGATTGTGTTCAATGCAGCTATGTCTGTGGGAACCTTGTAAACCTGATTCGGGGTGAGTTCCTCCAGAAAGGATGAGCCTTTGATTCTGCCAGATGTCCCAAGAAGATAAAAATTAAAATAAAAAAACTTTAATTTTTCAGATTCAGGTTCTCCTCACTCACAAAAGTAATATAAATCCAAACTTTTTTCCTGGAATATATTTTTATATATGAAGAGAAGTTATTCAATGAAGAACAAAACTGTTATAATGTTATAAAATGTTATAAAGATACATTTTGATCAGGATGTCCCAGGCATTGTGACTCAATGGGAAGAAATAGAGGTCCTGAGTCTGAATCCTGACTTTGCTTCTTCCGAAATATGACCTTGAACAAGTCTTTTAGACTTGTGAGAGTGTGATTCTCATTCTTTGTGTCTAAAGTATGGGGAAAACGTTACATGAATACAGTGAAGATTACATACACATAGTAGAAGCCCACCTAACAGAGTGCCTAGAAAATAATTCCCCCATTTTATTGTCTGCCTGGCCATAATCCTAAAACCACGGCATCTATTCAACAAATACTCATTGACTTCCTCCATGCTGGGTAGTGAAGGCTAGGGTCACATGGTAAGAAACATTAGAGAGGATAAAACATCTATCTCTAGGGCTTGGGATTTTAATGGACTCAGGTTGATAGATATTTTAAGATAATCACTATTTTGCATGCTTTGAATATATTATCCTCTTTAATCCCTCCATCAACTGCATAAAGTGTTTGCCCCATTCCCGATGAAGAAGCAGAAGTCCCAAATCACACAGCGAGAACACATCCAAGCTGCAGTAAAGCCCAGACAATTTTACTCCAGATTCTACTTCAACAGTCTTAAATAGTGGCTCCTACTGAGAGTATAAGTCATTCTACCATATTATTTTCTTAAGTGGCTTAGGACCAGTTCGGCCAGAAAATCCTAACCCTGTCATCCCAACCACGACTGAGCACCATGACCTGGGCCGAGTGTGGACCTGTGAATTGCTGGGGGCGCCGAGGCATTGCTTTGCTGAACAACAGCTGCACTGTGGCTCCACAGTCCAGCATCACTGGTATCCGGCTGCTTCCTGTTCCGAGAACGTTAGAATAAACTCGTCAATTAGCAGATGGCAGCCGAATGGGCAACTCTGTAAAGTATAATGATCCAACCCACGTTGGGTGCTGACCTTTCTTTAAAAAAATCATTATTTTAAGACAGCACATTGCATTTACAGAATGTGTTTTTAACACATGCATCAGCATAATTTTTTTAAAATTAGTTTTCAACCTGTCTTGTCATATTAGGGTATTTGTATTATGAGACTCCGGCATGCCGGTGGACCTGAACTAACCAGACAGTTTTGAGATTTTGATGTATGCGCCTGGGGGAAAACTCAGAATTCCA